AATGAAACATTTGTGAAAGATGGAGAAACTCAGACTACATGATAGCATCAATGGCTGGATATATAGCTGGTGAACACACATCCCCGAAGGGCAGGGATTAACAAGTGTGTCTGAATGCATGCAGTTCTTTTTAGTGTTGTGCCTCAAGGATCTGTAGTTAGCTGTGTTTTCTCATCGTTTTCATTTATTACTTCTATGAATGAACAGGAAATGTGTATAAAATGTGAATAAAATATGCTTGAGTGGGACAGGCAATATGATGGATGAAAGAAACAAGTATTTATTAGAATGTACTCAAGTGTCCTACACTGGAGTCATGAGCTGAGCCATCCATTTCTTCAGGAGACTTGAGATAGGCTGTCTTAATCTCAGTGTGCTACTAATATTTCACAATGTCCAGCATGCAGTACTGCTTAAATGTTGCTTGAATCTTGAGTATGAAGGATAAGTCAAACTTAGCGAGGTTTATGAGTAGCAATAGAATTACTAGGAAAATATGGCATTCCATAGAACTTAGATATGATTGGTATCAATAGCATCTAAAAGCAGGGAGCTGGACCTCCTGTGTTGCTCTTTAGTTATCATAAAGCATCTGCATCCTGCTCGTTCCTGAGAACTGACTGCCTAGATTAACAAGGGGAGTTTCAGAGAAAAGCCACCATTGGATGTGTTTGAGGGTAATCCTTTGCAAAATTCCCCCAAAGACGATGATTTTAGGAGGCCATGATGGTTGCTTTCATATATAATTTAGGCTTAATGTGGTAAAAGGAAAGTAAGTTTGGTCCGTTTATCACAAAGGATTATGTTTGGGCCAGGGGGTAAAATTAAAGAAAATATTTTTGGATCAATGTCGGGAGTGTGTTGCATTACAAATTAAAAAATGTTTTCATGTAACTGGCTAGGTGAAAATTGGCAGGGCTATTACAGGTAAGCTTCTTAACATCATTTAGGAGGTTTATGTAATCTTTAAAATTGCATCAAAATCTAAATTTTTAAAATGCTCTGATTTAATCTTTGAATCTTCAATTTATTATGAAATTAAAGGCGTGAGGTGCCAAACACAGTAGATGCCTACAAAAGTGGTTTACATGTGCTGAAAATAAAAAAGCAATCTGTGTTCATTAAACATACACACATATGTGCTGCGCATGTTTGGAACTGTTGCTGTATTATTTATGTTCAGACAGTGTTACTTCATTTGGCACTATGTGTATTTACCCCTAAAAGAAATTAATACAACAGCAAAAGATATAAAACCTTGGTTTTAAAACAAGCAAAAATCCTTTAAAAATGCAAATCAAATATAGTATTATTAAATTAACATACAATAAAAAGAAAAATATATAATGTGATAAAAAGAAATGGCTGCAGGATATAGAGAAATAAAAGAAAATGGATAAACAAAGTGACAATTCAAAACACTACCTGTGTTAGCATGCTACATAAACACCATCAAAATAAACACAAATTATAGGTGAAAAGTAAATGTAAAAGAGAGGCATGAAAAAAGACAAATCAGTTCAAATTTAATTTATCCTATGAGATTTACAAATACAGCCTAATGTAAAGGACAGTGATCAAAATCACATAGAACAGAATAAAATTTCCAGACATTGTTTAACAATATTTCCAGAAGTTAATTTATCAAGAAAAAGTAAGTGATGCAAAGTGAAAGGATTAAATAACACAGGATGTTGCAAAAATGTCTACTCGTATCTATCAATCATACACCCTAGAAAGTAGTAGGGAACTCCAGTCACTCACTCAGTAAATTCATGAATTCACTGTAAAAAATGAAAAAAAAAAAAAAAAAAAAAAAAAAAAACCTGCTGCTTTTCTACCACAGTTAGTTTGGTGGCAACCAATAATAATTTGTTGAAGAAATATATTATTATAAGAGTGTCAAACTTCAAGAAGAGAAGAAATTACATTATTATATCTTTCATTATTATTTACATTATTATATTTTAGCAAGACGGAATTGGCAATACCTATGGCTGGGAAGATTGCAATTAGAAGAGTGATTGTAGATACTGGTAGTTATAATACTTACTGTTACAAAAACCATCAAAATGCTTCTAGTGGCCCAGATCTTGACTTCTAAATACTGTTTTCCAGTAAGAGCAACCAGGGTTCCTTAGAAATTAGTTGAATGTATGGTTGATGTAGCAAAGATACAAGACAGGTCTTAAAGATTTTGTGCCAAATATTAAGGGGAAAAAGTATGAAACTATCAAATAGTAAGACCAAAGGTAAAGGAGTAAATACCTAGACAAGTATACTGAAACTAAGAACTCTTGCTGGCTAGATCTGAAACATTTTGAGTTCAAAACTGTAATAATACTAGATTGCAAATCAAAGAATAAAATCAGTATTCATGAGCCCACATTGATATAAACAAATCATTAAATATATAAAAGGACCAACTTGCTTCCAAAATAATTTCACTTCTTACAATCTAACTTAAGGAGATCTAAAATGTGGTTGAAGATTTAGACCTTCAAAGATGTATATATTGATTATAGCCTTATTTAACAATGAAATATTTAAAATGATGGCTTCTCTTTAGTTTGCAATCATTAGACCTGTGTTTCCTGAAAATGCTTATAAGTAAAAATTTAAATACAAGACATGAAAACATATTTCTTGTGTTTGTGTGTGTAAACACAAGAAATGTTCAAAAATGTTATGCTGATCAAAGTAAGATAAAAATTATGAATAATCCTATTTACTTTCCTTTACAAATTTTTTAATTATAACTTTTGCTAATAACATTTTAAAATACAAGTTATTTTGGACATTGAATATATATCAGATATGTTTATGAGAAATAGGTTGAGATATAGTAAAGGTAAATACATGATGCTGTTAATATATTCAATTGTCTTCTATCACTTCAAAACCCACTACACATTCCTTTATTATATTGTTGTATGTGACAAATGTCAGAGTAGAAGCTGGAAGTGTTTTTTTCCCATCTATTTAAGAGGAAAGCTATATATTAATGAATAATAAAAATATTTCTATGAACAAATTGATTGAATTCATCAGCCCCCTTCTATGCAACAGCAGCTTGAATATATTTAAATATATTTGAGCACAGATTAATCTATAAAACATTCATATTATGCATTTTCTTTTAGGTATCAACATCCTCCTCAAAACATACTCTATATTGCAAGTGTCTATTATGTCTTTCCATGCTTTACTATTGCAATTATTTAACAATATTTATGACTATTTTATGAAAATTATATTACTTAACACATTTACATGTGAGAAAATCAAAATTATAGTGTAATGTGCAGTAATCTTGGTCTGTCTAGCACCGTTTATTTCCTTGTGGATTATGTATGTTTAGCACCCTCTGTCTTGTTTTAGATTATGCCTTAGTCATATAAAAGTGAAGCCTCTACTGTTAGAAATGACTTATCTACCAGTTTTACTTCTTAGAATTCTTATTGTACAGATCTAAACATCCAACAAAACATAATATAGAGATAAAATATATAATTTCAAATCTTTTACCCTTTATTCTCTTCAGTGAGAAGCTGGGAAAGCCTCAAAGAAAAATCACAGCAATATGTGCACACTTTATCTTACTTCTGCTTAAAAATAGATCTTACAAATGTACAAATTGACAAAATAAGTTACTTCATTGTAGTTCTGTTTACTTACAACATTTTCCAGAGCACAGTGGTGTCTAGCTAATAGTTGATGAGCATATATATTCAATTAAAGAAAATTGAAGCATACTATTTCTTTTTGACATAGCTATAATATGGCTTCATTTTGATTCATGTAAAGTTGTGGAACTATACTAGATTAAAAATCTAATAAAGTTGATATTATTAAATAAGAAATTCGCTGTATACAGTGAGAACTATTAGCTGTGGATATAAGAACAGCGGTGTAAATTTTCCACTTTTATAAATTTACAATAGAGAAAGAGGGGTCTCTTACACTAAGACAGTTTTAGAAAGTTGTAGTTTACAAATAAGATTTATAAAGAGTTCCTTTATGAATCAAGTGAAGAAAGATGAATGTCTTACATAATTAAAGTCCTGATGAAAACATGGGTACTGGAAAATTAGGAGAACAAATTAGAGATTCATAAATTTAATTTTGTAAACATCTATGGTTTTTTATGCCTCATTTTCTTAAAGTAAAAAACAGACTTCAAAATAAGTAGGTATAGAACTATGGTTTAATCTCTCCAAACACAATATATTTCCCTAAAAGGTTATGTGAACGCTCATAGCAGTTCCTATTATATAAAGAGAAGCAAAATTGGTTCTGTGTAAATAAAAGCTATTTATGCTGACACACGTACAAATAAACTTGTATCACTTATGTTACCCAACCTGTCCATAAGACATATATTTGAGATGCCCATCCGTGTATTCTTTTCTCCAAGCACATACCTTCCTGCACAGGTGTGCCTGTCTGTATGTACATGTATCCATGAAAACCTAGCGTTACAATGTGCTTTTGGAATAACGCACAAATGATCTTCAAAATCAAAGTCATTTATATGGTTTGGGGATAGTTCAGAAAAAAATACTTCTCAGAATAGATCAAAGAGTATTCTGCAGTGTTGTATTCTGTTTAGGAGCCATGAGCGATATTGTACTCTAATAGATGTCAAGATTTCAAAGAGTTAAGAGCAGACGCTTGTTTGTCTTTCTAATACAAATTTGGGAGGATGTGTAAAAGTAAATTAAACTCTGTCAGACCCTTTAAAAGAAAAATTGCTGTTCTTCTTTCAAGGAGGTTTCTATGTGGTAAAAGAAAAAAAAAATGAGCATTGCAAGCAGTTCTGGAAACACAACTGAGATGCAGCCTGATAAATAGCTTTCTGTCAGTCAAACCAGAGCACGGAAAAGCCTGCGATCAGCACTTTCATTAAAAGCACTACTGACTCCTCTTTTTCTCTCATTTTATCTGACTTTCTCATTTTGTTTACTCAGTCAATGATTGGGGAAAAAATGATTCCTTACCCCTTGGGTGAGATGTAATGGAGTCTGCTCGCGAAGGGTCCTTCTCTCCATCTTTGTCGCAGCTGCTGCCTTCGCTGCCACTGTCCCTCTCAATCAGTTTATCAACCATAGCAATAACGCAGTTCAGGCTCTTCCCCACATTGGCCCACACCCTATCCTGAAAAGAACATAAGTATCACTACACGTAGCAAAGCAAAGACAAAATTGGATGAATCCAGTTTAGAGAAGCAATCAGAAGAACAATCACTAGCATGAAGATTGAGCAGCTAGCTCTAATACTCCCATTAACTTGGTAAGATGATGCATAAACAAGGGATCTGTTTTCACTTGATCAAGCTGAAGTGAAGTTTTATCAATCCTTTTAGGTAGTCCACTAATGATGCTCTGTCATAAAAAGATGATAAACTCCTGCACATAATTATTTCATTATGGAGCAGAAATTTTGACATTTGAAAGTAGCACTATACCTGTTTTATTTACCAAGACTTAGTAAGAAAGCAAAGATAAGAATGTTTTGAAAGAATAGACACCAGTTGCATTAGACATTCTTTTTGTATCATGGCCAAAAAGCATAGCATAAAATTTATTGCTCTACTCATTTTGAAAAACATAGATCAGTAGCATTAAGAACAGTCACAACCATCACCACCAGTACACCCATCACCACCATTCACTTCTAGAATGTTTTCCTCTGGTTAATCTACAATTCTGCAACCCCTTGCACATGGTTTCTCCATTCTTTCCTCTCCTAACACATAGCAACCATCATTCTTCCTTCTTTTTTTTTACTAGTACCAGGGATCGAACTCACGACCGCCTGCTTACAAGGCAGGTGCTTATGCCGCTAAGCTAAATCCCCAGCCCCCTCTTCCTTCTGTTTTGATGAATTTGGCTACCTTACATTCTAGAAATCCTTCTAGTGTGGTCTTCATACCATCTATAACAGAATGGCCTAGAGTAGTGGTGACAAACCTATGTTGTATCTGTTACTTGTTTTTCAATTAAGACAAAAGATATTAATGCATGAGTTTTTCCCCCTAAACGAAAACTTCATTATTCAGGCTTAATTGTAGTTTTGGCACTTTGCAATAAATAAGGGGGTTTTGGGTAGCAGTCTGGGCATCTCTAAAAGATTTGCCATCACTGACCTAGAGAATTAATATTCAGATACCTGGGTTCTACAAAGTCACTCAAAATCATCAGAGCGAATACATCAGAAATTGAATTTTTGTAATGGATGAATCTGTAAACAGAAAGAATCACATGTACAACAGTAGCAACACACATCTCTTGGACAGACAACACTGGGCTGTTCTTCACCAGGGTCTGTACACCCATGACCACAGTGTGCTCTCTCTTGCACAGCTCTGGGATCAGCTGTTTCTGGAGCTTCATATTCTTTTGCTATATCTTCTGTACTTCAGAAGCAAACACAGCTTCTGAGGCTGAGGAGTCAATGCAGTTGACCTTAATACAAATCACAAAGTGTCCTCTGTTACATAGAAAGGTGTGGGCATTCAAGGCCATGATCCAAGTTTGATCTGGCTGGGCATACTGGCAAAATGGCATCCACCATTGTGATGCACATGTGTTATTTGTACAGGTGTCAGGCATCCTCAGACACAAGAATAACGTTGGTCCTCTTGGACAAGTTGATAAGACCAAGGCCAGAGCAGTGAGAGAACTCGATTGCACAGATCATTCCATCCAGGCCTACAAGGTCAGATACACAGGAGACTCCACCCCCAGATAGAGCACCTTGGCCCCAGGTTTTGTCATCTCTCTCTGAAATGAAAACTATCTTCTTTCCATAACCTGACTCTCCAGGGTCAGGTTCTTGGTGACTGGTGTGCACCTTTCTTTCTTTGACAAATGAAGACACTCTTGTGCCAGTGAGGTTCCACCATCACATTCTTCCCTGACTGGTTTCTTCTTTTTCTCCATGGCCACAACCAAGGTTGTCACCAAACTGGAAGCTTCAGATTTGTGGAGTCAGGGACATCATAGACCTTACAAGCCACATAAATTAGTGCTCACCATAAATGCATACTTCAGCCCCCATGGAGGTGCTCTGGTGGCTGAGGGGGCTCTGGTGACTGTGGAGGTCATAGTAGCCATGGTGGAGGCTGAGTTGTGTTTGTTGGGTGTTACGAAGGTCAAGGTAACAAAGGCTGTAGAGGCTCTGACCAAGGAGGATAGGATATCTTCCAGTTAGAACCTGAAATTCTGATGAACTCTTCAGCTGCTTCTCACTTCATTTGGGGGTCATTTTGGGAAATTTATTTCCTAGGGAGAGGCTCATACTGAGGGACCTATTTGTCACTAATTTCCTCAGTTCTGATTAGTACTGCTTTTTAGCTTAGGGCAACACATTAGGCTGAATTCTTTTATTCATAAAATTTGCATTAATTTTTAAAAATATGACTCTTGGGTATGATTGTCTTGATGGAAGCCTATTATCTCTGAATTCTCTTCTCCTTCACCTTCCCATATAATTCAGATGAAGGCATGGACTACCGACCCCTCTCTCCAGACAGGAGAACCACGTATATTTGTGGTGTTTCTCTGAACATTGCCACAAAACAATCTTTCAGTGATTCTCCTCTGAAACAGAACTATTTCATGCACCCGGAGTATGACTTAGTATAAAGATAATAATTATATTACCACCTTTATAGTTTGTGTATTTTCTCCCAAATGTATGCTTTCAATCAAGCTAATTTTTGGTGGTTTATAAATAAGTAAACTAATTCTGGGGAGGAAATATCTAAGAAGAGAAATCTCTAGTTGAGTGTATAGTATTTAATGGTAGTGTTTTAAGATTAAGTTAGTTGAATAATACAAAACAAATATAGGTTTGCAGAAGTATAGAAGTGTATAGTTCAGCTGAAAAACAAGGTTTTACATAAAGTAGCCTCAACAAATTCAAACCTAGAAAATGTAACCTTGAGGTCTTTATGTGATATGCAATTTATGAGAATGGAAAAACCAACTCACATCTGGGAAAATGCAGCTGTCTTACCTATAATTTGGAATAATTTTCAGTCCTCCTACCTTCCTAGGCTGCACTAGTAACCAAATACTGTACTGGGATTTCTGTGAAAGCACTTGGGAAAATTATTATAATTTAGCACAATCATATCCATCCTAGACTAGAGTCAATCTTTGCTTCTTCACCTGTAATCTTAAGGGAAGGTATGATATTAATCACAGCTAATCACACCAATTTTTTCCTAAAGACAAATCTTTCCCCCAAAGAATTGTAAGCCTTTCCCCTGTAGGAGAAACTAAGATGCCAGTGACTTCTGTACATTTCACCATTTTCTGCCCGTTGCTTAAGAGATTGACGAGAAAGCACTTCTGAGCCACAGCCAGGAGAGCTCAGGAGGGCTTACCAGTCCAGGAAGGATTCTGAGGCATGCGAGGAAACAATCTGAAAGGCTAAGCATTGCTCGCCTTGTGAGAAATACAAAAGTATTTAAAAGATAATTTGATATCCATGCATACATTGTTCTTCCTTTACAGATACCGCAGGACAGTGGTGGTGGACATATGCCATGTATGTTATTGTGTTTTTCTATGAAGATGAAAGAAGTCAATGCAGAGAAGATTTTCTAAACCAAAACTTCTGTACTAAGGTTTAACCCCCGTGTTGGCACTTTGTGATAAATAAGTGGGTTCTGGGTGGCAGTTTGGCACTTGGTATCTAGAAGGTGTTCCTGTCATAGGATGTAGAGAGATTTTTATTGTGCTAAGCAACACAGTAAAGCACATTTACTGATCAAGATCAGCTATTTGGTAAAGGTTACAAGATAAACTGTAGAAAAATATATAGTCGTGATGCTTAGAGGACACAGAATCTGGAAGAATGTTTTCTGGGAGTGAGAAATGAGCAGCTATTTCATGCAATTCTTATATACAGTTTGCATAAACAAAGGAATGCTCTGTGATGTACCACAATACTATTCTGTACAGACCTACTCAATTCCTTTTCTTTTAGAGAGGAGGCCTGCCCAGCTGAAGGTGAGAGAACACTGTGTCTTGCTAGTGCTTCCTTCTAAGTTGCTGATTGGTGTCTCTGTCTCTAACACAACATTTTAACTACTTAAGAGTTCTTGCCTCACAACATAGCACCAGCTCGGACTCTCAGTTACTTTCACTGGAAGAAAGGAAGGAAAGAAGGCAGGAAAGTGGGAGAAATATGGGAAGGAGGAACACTGGATGACTCTAACTCAGAAAGAGTCTGTATTCATCTGACAAATCCATATTGGCTCCTTTTATATTTAAAACTATTGAAAAGGTTAATATTTTTCACTTAGTTTTCAGAGCAAAGAAGACACTTAAGGTAATATATGCATAAAGACACTCAGCATTAAAAGGACAGAAATGAAATACATCCTGTTTGACTTCAAAGCCTTGGTTCTTCTACTCAGTTTCTATGAAACTGAGGTACACTGTACCCCATGCTACATGGAGGGAGTCAGGAAGGGTCAGACAAAGCAAATGTCATCTCACAGAAGTATGATTGGGTCTTCATTATCCAAGATCTGAAATGATCACAGCAGATCCTGAGAGGACACGAAGGTTGTACTTAAGTCTGGCATCAATAGTGCCAGAGGAGCAAGGATGCAACAGTCACTGGACTCGGGCTTCTTCACTTTGGGTCAAAGAAGCAAAGTGAGCACAGGTAAAGATGCAAGTCTCCAGATAAATTCATGACACAGCAAAGGGAAAAAGGATGAAAAAGAGTAACTCAATTACCAACATGATGAAATATAATTACTTTGAAACTATAATGTTAAAGATGGATGGTATAGAATTCTCAGTGGGGAACCATGCATATCTGAGTTCTTTCCAATCTGTTTAGCTCTCCTGCTCCCCCAGCAAGGGCTAAAAACTACCACCACTTATCAGAGAGACAGGGGTGAGCCTTTCACCAGAAATGGCACCCATTATCCTTTGGACCTCTTGCTACACAAAACAAAGGGAAGTTGGAGGTTACAATCAAACCTGTATGAAATAGATTCTTAATTTTAATGGGTTCCTTTATTGGAGGTGAAGTGGTTGATTGGTGAGGACACAAAGTGAGTGGGGAACAGCATCAATTTTTATCCCGCTGTTACTTACATGATGCTGATCTACACCTTTATTTATTGC